CTTTCCTCAGACCACAGGCCATTAATACTCCAAGTATCACTAGCTCCTATTCCTAAACCCTCTCCTCCGTCCTTCATCAGAGGCCCAGTTAACTGGAAACTCTTTCATCAAATCCTCTCCGATAAAATTGACCTCAGAGTAACCCTGAAAACCTCTGAAGACCTGGACAATGCAGTACATTCCTTCACTACCAAAATTCAAGAAGCAGTCTGGACTGCTTCCTCCCCTGATCACTCCTCAAAAATCCTTAAGAAACATAATTTACCTCAACACCTTCTTGACCTAATCCACATAAAACGCCGTGCCAGATTATTATGGCAACGTACCAGACATCCAGCCGACCGCCACTCCTACAATTATCACTGTAAAAAATTAAAACAAGAGTTAGCCACCTTCAGATCCCAATCATTCAATTCCTACCTCACCACACTCTCTGCTCATGATAATTCTCTTTGGAATATCACCAGAAAAATCCTCAAATCCCATCATATTTCCCACCCTCTTCGACGAGATGATGGCTCCTGGGCAGCATCTGATGAAGATAAAGCCGAGGAATTTGCCAAACACCTTTCCTATACTTTCGCTCCTCATCCAGAATCCCATCCCAGCCACACAGTAAAAGTAGAAGAATCCCTCTCAATACCTATCCCACTCTCCTTACCACCTAAAGCTGTTAATCCCTCTGAGGTCAAATACCTTTTACGGAAAATCACACCTCGCAAATCTCCTGGATATGACCTTCTAACCCCACAGATCCTTCGACAACTTCCATCTAAAGCCATCATATTTCTTACATATATATACAATTGCATCCTACGAACTACCCACTTCCCTCTTTTATGGAAACATTCCACCATCGTCCTCTTCTTGAAACCAGGCAAACCTTCCAACAATACAGTATCCTATAGACCAATTAGCCTACTCCCAATCCTCTCAAAAATTTTTGAAAAGATCCTACTGAAACGAATCCTACCTATAATTGAATCCTATAACCTTCCTACTCATCAATTCGGATTTCGTTCCCAACATTCCACTGTCCAGCAAGGACTCCGAGTTGTTGACCATATATCCTCAACCCTAGAAAGCAAGCAGTATTGCTCGGGTGCATTTCTGGACATAGCGCAAGCTTTTGACCGGGTATGGCACGCCGGATTACTCTTCAAGCTTAAAATCCATCTACCACAGTCCTTATACCTAGTACTCCGATCCTATCTTTCCGACCGCTCCTTCCGAGTTCGCTGTGGCACCGAATTCTCCGACTGTTACTCAATTGAGGCTGGCGTTCCTCAAGGCAGCGTCTTGGGCCCCATCCTTTACATTCTCTTTACCGCTGATATTCCTGTCCATCCCGATACCCTCCTGGCAACTTTCGCTGATGACACTGCTATCCTTTCTTCCAACTCAGATCCTGAAACAGCGTCCGCAAACTTACAAAGGCACCTCTTCCTGATTGAACACTGGTGTAAGAAATGGCGCATTAAGGTAAACGAATCTAAATGTAAACACATTACCTTCACCCTTCGGCGTAATACCTGCCCACCAGTTTATTTTAACTCCATCCAGCTTCCTTTCTCAGATACAGTCCGGTATCTTGGCTTTCTCTTAGACAGACGACTAACATGGAATCCACATACTCGACTTAAAAGACAGGAACTTAACAGACGATATGGCCAGCTATATAGACTACTGAATAGAAAATCTAAACTTTCTGGTGAAAACAAATTACTGATCTACAAGACAATACTGAAACCCATCTGGACTTACGGACTAGAACTATGGGGAACAGCCAAATTTTCTAACATCAAACGCATTCAATCCTTTCAGTCTAAAGTCCTCCGTACAATAGTCAATGCTCCCTTCTATGTAACCAATAAAACCCTACACCATGACCTTAATATCCCATTTATTCTTGATCTTATCCCAGCCATATTTTCCAAATTTCACCAGAACCTTTCTCATCACCCAAATCCCGTTGTACAATCCCTATCAAGCACCACCCATCCCTACCATCCCCTTCGTAGGTTAAAGCGGCAGTGGCCACGAGACCTTTTGTAAATATTGATATTTTGGAGTTCTAGCAATGGCCAGATTCTCCACTGAAGTCATGAGTGTCTGTGGCTGTAGCGCTCTTACTCATCCTCCGCTGGTTTAAAATACCAGTGAAGTGGCTGAGGGAGAAGCGTAGGGATCTCCTAAGCCTCCCTTTTCCCTCCACATGTGGAGGGGACAGGATTGGTTCGGAGATCACCTGGCAAATTGCAAATAATGTATGTTTTATATAAGGTGTTTGTTTTACTTTCATTTCTATTTTTATTTACTTATGTGTATATATATATATATTTTCTTTTTCTTTACTCTTTTGTTCTTTCTTCTTATTCTTTTGTTATTACTTTATTTATTTATATTTTTGTATATACGGTATGAATGCAATCTCTGAACTCTATTATAAGTGTCCTTAACTGTGACAAATTGTAATATTTCTGAATAAAGTGTTTTAATAATAAAAAAAAAAAAAAAAAAAAAAAAGTATTTACTCCTTTATGTGACATTAAGTGAGGGAATGAGAAGAGATATATAGAAATATGAATTTGCACTATGAATTGTACTCAATTGTGCAGAGGACAAATTGTTCATTGAAAAGTCTCATATCAATAAACAATCGACGAAGAAGGAAGAAGCTTGAAAAAGGACGGAGCAGGTAGCAGCAGCTGGAGAAGGACGCTGAAGAGAAAAGAAGGTGACTTCAGGCCGGGACAGGAAGAAAGGAGGTTACCAGAAGAGAGAGGCACTGCACTAAAGATTAAGAAAATCAAGCCTAAAGTTTTAAGACTTTAATAGATTCACTTATTACAGTTGTAAAATAAATTGTTTTGTTAAACAGGAGCGAATAGTCCTTTTATTTAGTTGTCTTATAGGCCTCATACATAATTGAAGAATAACAAAACAGGTCAGTCAATTCATTCAAAGTGTGTTTACTCCCACATTTCATATATATATATGTGTGTATATATATATATATATATTCTTATTATTTCTTGTCACTCAGTGTTACAAAAGCATTAGGTTCCCGAATTCCCAACGACAGTTAAATACCCTCAAAGCCTGTACGAAATATTCATGAAAAGAACAAATTGGTAGAAGGTTAATAATGATAGACATAGATTCATAACATATTGAATGGATTATGAAGTAACATAAATGAAACATTAATTATATAATTTATTTATTCACAAATTGTTATTTATACACAAGTTCAGTATATTGTTAAATGTATTGTGAAAAAATAGACATAATTTAATATACACAAGAGAAAAAAAGAAAACAAACCAAGGCAGAAGAGAGGTTTGGACAGCAGGAGGATGTGGTCTAAGAACTGATAACATGAGGGGTAACAGATAATAGGCTTATTATTGGTAAATCATTTTTTTTTTAATTTATAACATTTATGTTTCTTTGTTATCGAAGTTCACAAGACAAAAGGGGTTATCTATCTAAGACTATCAGACTAAAATTGCAAAATTATTTTTAATTTCAGTTTTCAAAGTGTCGGCATCATTTTTTAAAAATGTTACAAGTATACATTTGATTAAAACTTTGAGCAGTTTGATAATATAAACAATTATTTCACTAAGAAATTTAAATAAATACAATTTATAGTTCTTCTGAATTGTCTCAAGAGAATAAACGTGTCCTGATTATACCTGTACCTAAAATAATTAGGAGAACCGATAATCGATAGTTGTTTTACTATAATAGTTATTACTGAATATGTAGAATGCTCGCACAATTTTCTTTCTAAAACACTCATAAATAATAAATATAAATAACATAAAAATTGTCTTTAACATTTGTTTCAAATTTATCCTGTATTTATGACTATACTGTAAAGGTCGCATGTAATCGGTAATGGATTCATGATGAAATTAGTTCTGCTACTGAAAAATATACTAATTACGTTAATATTAGGGCAAAAGAACCCATGAACCCTTAATAAAAACAATCTCTTAACCTCACTACCTTTAAGAAAAAATAAATTGTGGGTAGCTAAAAGATTTCATTGTGCATTCATTGTTATAATTCGGTAACTGCCTCTATGGTACCTATACTTGCAAAAGTACATGTATTTTTCCGCTGTGGGCACAAAAACCTACAGACCGAATCTCCAGCCGCATCATGGCATATATGCCACCCCTCACATACAGCCGATCAAACCAGGTCGGGATTTACATCAACATTTAAATAAAAAGAAAAGTTCATATAGACTTTGATCCGACTCCACGTAATAAAGAAGCTGATTCAAATTTAGTGTTATATTTTTTAGTTAAGTCAGTTTACTACTTAGGTAATTACCATTGCGAAAAAGTGGAATTAAATATTATTTTCTTCAGAAATAAGTAAAATTTGTCATTGTTAAAATCATTTTCAGGGCTATCCAGCAGTCATAGTTTCGTTTTTATTAATATCATTGGTTATTCCTTATTTATTTTTTTTTCTGTGAACCTGTTGCTAAGACATATATCTATCCTGAGACCTCAATGTTATTCTCCTTCTTTTTAAGAAAAAAAAAATTAATATAGAATAACGAAAATATCTAATGGTATGTTTCAAGTGGAAGAAAAATTCAGAACCATTACCCAATTAAATGAACAACTACTAAATATACTTATATAATAATATGTTTATATAAGTATATAAAGTGAGCTAACATATAATATACGGGTAGTAAAAATATTTACTTAATATAGTTTTCTTTACCCCTTTCATAGGCTTGCGGAGATGCCTGTGATGCAGATAGTTGTAAAATAGCATTTTTTAACTAAGTTCACATATTGGAAAAACATTTCTAAATATTACTAAAACATTGACTGTAAATGGCTTAGGAGCTTTTAATACATCGATAGTCGCTACTTTCGACCATCGGTTCTCCATTGGCAATGTGATGACGTTAATCAAAATATTTCAGCAGCATTAACATAACGACACGATTATGTAATTTAAAATTAACTAACTCGACTGCCTATATTGAAACAAAAACTAGAATCTAGCTTTTGATTGTCCATGGTATGGTTTTCGGGAGAGTGGTTGTGGATGTCGTTCCTACTGGAGTCGCTATGCCTGGTTTTGTCCTGCCTGTAGGGAGTGAGTTCACCGGGTCTCGGATCTCCGGCCATGAGCCTTTGCTCGTAGCACTGAGGTCCATAGGGATCACCCTCGTAGTTGGAGCCCATCTCACCGTATCCCTTTGATGTTTTGGCGTCACCGCTACTGTAGGCCATGTTGAAAAGCGCTTCTGGGTCACAGACGAATTTGTAAACATAACGCTCTCCTGAAAGAAAAGATAAATAAAAACTTTAGTTAAAACTTAAAGCGTAAAATATAGAATATAAAAATTAAAAGAAAAATAACTACTGCAAATAAATGAAGAAGTTTAAGTGAATATACATAAAGAAATACATTTCACATTTTACAAAATTCGGATTTTGTGGAGTAACCTGTTCGGATACCAGATTGGTAAGGTTCAAGTTGATTGGACTGTTCAAGGAAGTTGGAAACTTGGGTTTGCACTATTCTCTCTAGGGGTTTCGAAAGGTTAGAAAGGACTGAGATTGGCCGGAAATCTTCAGGGGAAAACGGATTCGAATTATTATTTAAAGGATGGACCATGCCTTTTTTCCACATGGTAGGGAATACTGAATTTTTAACGGAGAAATTATAGATGAAAAGAAGCACCTGAAGGATTTCTGAGCGGCATAATTTAATTAATTTGGAAAGCCATCTGGACTAATAGAATACGAATGTGATTTCAACACGGCGGTCGGTATTTAAGAGGTCTGTGGGAGAAATATCGGAAAAGTAAAAGTCGTCGGCATTGAAAGATGTTCCAGGAGAAAGAAGACGAGGTAAATGAAGGAGTTAAAAACGAAGCAGATATAAAATATGAATTTAAATCATTTGGTGAAACTGGGAGCACTGCAGAGGGAGAGGATCTGGAAGGTCCACAAAGGGACAGTTTACAAAGGAGTACCCATTTGGATTTGGAATCGGGAGCTGATGAAAGGACTTCATAGCAACAGGTAGATTTGGCTCGTCGGATTGTGGTTTGTGTCAGGTTGCGGAGTACGTCTAAAGCGTCTACGGGCAGCATCACGTCTCTTCTGAAGATGCTTAATTTTCTGATACATCCAAGGAGCAGGAAGGCAACAAAAGTTGGATGTTTTGAGAGGGGCATGAGCATCGAAGATATTAATAAGATTGGAGGTGAGCATGTCACCCATGGAATCATGTGAGGAACAGACATATATATTCTATTCCAATCTATCGATTCCAGGGAGGGTAAGATGGTTTTCCGAGTAAGTCCATTAATGTTACGGAAAGTGTTGGACCTTGCTGTGTGATGAGTAGCAGAAAAAATCTGGTGCGCGCAACACACAACTTTCACTTACCGCTCAACTTTAAATAGAAATTATTTTCTGGCCATGTTGGGCTATTATAAAATTTTTGAATTGCATGTTTAACCGAGCTAAAGCCCCCCAAAAAAATTACAACTAACAAATCATAAATACCATTAAAAGTCCTATATATTATATCACCGGTTGATTGTGGATTGTACGATCCGTTGATTATGGATTGCACGATCCGTTGATTATGGATTGTACAACTATTAGTTATTAAACTGTTACTTTTCCATTGCAAAGTTCACTAAAACGGAATTGAGAGATTTGCATTGTCTTTCATAGACAGGTCAAAAGTTATCACATTAATTGTATGTGGATACTGTTATCGCAAAAAGAAATTTCATCAAACTATTTACTAATTTGATTTTCTAAAAGGTTACATGACGATTTTTCGGTATAAACGAACGATAAATACTTATATATTTAAATATAATATGAGATCTAGAGTTATTAAACTACAGTAAATATATTTAAGGTTATAAATGTACCTATGAAATACTTTTATATTTAACTTCTTCGTTCTTACAAGTACAATGAAATAGTAGTGGATATTGTTGTCATATCACAAAAGGAAGATTCTTCAAATTATTCAACAACTTAATTTTCTAAAAAGTTACATGACAATTTTTCGGAATAACCGTTGATACCTAATTATTTAAATATAATATCAGATCTATAATCACTGAACTACAGTAAATGTATTTTTACGGTTATAAAGTCATTTAATTTTCTTGAAAACATGTGATTTACGTTAAATAATGTTAATTTTTTGAGATTATTATTTATAATTTTTTCGCCACTCTCCGTTACCTTCCACAACTAAGCAGTTTTATTTTTTTCTCCGTTATTCAATTATAAAATTTGTATTTAACGTTTTTTCGTAACTTTTAATAATGCGAGATAGTTAATTATTTGAAATGAACCGTATTAAAGGTACTTTAGAAGAAGACGTAAATCAACATTGGGCATTTAAGCCCTGACATCAACGGGGATAAGACCTAAATGATATTAAAGTGGCACTTCCGGTTAGCCGATTTTAAGGAAAAAGTTGCTAGGACATCTAAGGCATATACCTAAAATATGTAATATCAGTTTCGTACGACTTTTCGTTTTCGAGCTAGAGTGTTCACAGACACATATCATTTTTCGGAACTTGGTTATTTGGACTAAGGTTACCTCAAAACGTGTATTTCCGTTGAAAACTTAGACTTAAAAATGTTCACGATCGCAATACTTACACTTGCTATATATTACATGTATAGGTAAGTGAAAGTAAAAGGAACGATAAAAAGATGAAGAGGGGAAAAATGGTTTTCTAGGTATGATTTGTCACTGGGGTCGGAAAGAAAATTAGTCTTTAAGTCACCGGAAATGATAATTTTGGAATAAAGGATACAAAGTTGAAGAGGGAAGCTTCGAAAGACCGATCAAGTGGAACGAGAGGAGGTCGATATACTACGGAATAGATAAAGGGCAAATAATGTAGTGCCTTTTAATCCACATTTGCCAAAATTCACTACTCCTGAAAGGTGGAAAAGGAATTTATACAACTGATTTATGTATATATGTATATAGAATAGAATAGAAGAATCAACTTTATTCTGGGACTACGTCCCTTGAGAATAACAATATTGTACATAAAATTAACATTACATCTGGCCAAAATGTATATTACAATAAACAAAAACAAACAAAAAAAACAACTAAAAAATAAGGGATAAAAGAAGTGTTTACATAACTGTACAGATATAGGAAGCCTTAATGGGAGAAATAAGGTCCTAATACTGCAAAATAGTTGCTATACACAATACGCTATGAAATTATAAATGAGCGACAAATAACTTTTGTTGTCATGTCATTGTATTAATGAAAAAAATAAAAAATAAAGATGCTATAGTAATAATAGTATGTTCGAAGAATACAATAGTAGTATATACACAATAATACAATAATAGTGAGAATACATTAATAGTACAATAGTATATATACAATATATATATATTAATGTATATATATATATATATATATATATATATATATATATATATAATACAATAATAGTATAATAATACAATAATAGGCTACCCAGCATCTGATGGAATTGTAAGGAGGAATTGGAAAAGGAGGATTTTAAATGTGGATAAGGATGGTGCATGGCGGATTTTAAGTGGGATGGAATTCCAAAATGTGGTGGATCGGACAATAAAGGAGTGTTCAAATGAGGCCGATTTGTGGAAAGGGGTATAAAGGTCGGAAGGACGAGATCTTGTGGAGAGGGAGTGGATAGATGACTTGAATTGAAGGAGATTGAATGCATAGGACGGACGATGATTATAGATTATTTGGTAAAGGAATGTACCTTGGAAGTACTGTCTTCTGAAGGAGGGAAAGAGCCACCCTGACTCGGCGTAGTAGTGGGAAACATGAGAACGTCTCGTTTTATATATATATATATACGTATTAGAGTGATTTCAACATATTTCTTTGTATTCCTTATCTCTCTCAAAGGTATTGAAATACCAAACAAATTTCTAGAAATATGAAATTATAGGTGTACAACTATAATACCAGTTCTGGATCAGTTCTGATAAATGGGTGCAAGGACCTAGACACTAACCGAGACACTCTAGAAAGATTAGAAAGGAAAACCCTCCGCACGATAACCGCAGTGATCTTAAATCAGAGTATAATAAAATCGTTTTGACAATAATTAGTAAAATATAAGTCTACTACTTATAAAAATTAGGAAAGGTATTGCGAAAATAATAAATTTGTTGAGAAAGAAGAGAAAAGAACTGACAAATATACACAATAGTTAAACATTATTTTTTTTCTTTAAGTAAATTATGAAGTTTTCACTTTTTTTTTTTTTTTTTTGCCCCCTTGACTATTTAAAAGAAATAGCTGAAGATGGCTTATAAAATATACACCAGGGATATGAAAAACTATTTAACTATTTACTTTTAATGAAAATCAGGAATTTATAATGGTTGTGAAGCCTAGGTAAACTGACCTATCTAGTAGTATCGTTAGTCTCCCCATTACTTTTTCCTCAGTCTCCCCTCCACTTCTTGTGAATAAACCTTTGATTCCCGGATGTTCAGAAATCCGCCAGACATCTCCATCAGTACTTCATTCACTTCACTTACTTTACACCACGGCGTATCTACGGGGGGGGGAGAGGGGAGGGCTTTGGCACTGAAGCTCCACCCCCCGTAAAAATACGTAACCAACATCGAGTTTAATTTTATTAGTTTTCGTAAACATAAACACATACCATGTACAAGCTACCGCCTGAAATCGAGAAGTCGTCTTATTGATGAGAACTTGGAATCATGCCTAAAATTAAAAACATCAACATACAAACCTGACTTACTCAAACTTTCCAAGGAGATGCAAGCAAATTGATCGCAATAATATTTATTAAGTATGAAATTTAGTTTTATTTAGTGTAATAAAAGTTTACTAAACAAGCAGATTTGGCTCCCAATTTTTTAAAAAATCGTTGTAATGTTCATATTTGGTTCTTTGGCTAATAAGTTTACCGACCACTGCGCTAGTGCCTTACACGATAATTCGGAATGTCATTAGTTCCTAAGAATGCAATTCCGAATGACCGTGTAGGCTCCCGAATCTATACAGAAGAATTTCTGAATGAAATATATTCAGAGAATGGAACATTTGGTGCGTCTGTGTGGCAGTCCTCTATATATATTTACTTTGAAAAATATGTAAATTGCTAAAGAGTCGAAACTTTATTTATTTATTTTTTTATTCATTAAAATATAATTTATGGAAGTCACAAAGTATCCTCGGAAAATAAAGAAAAATGTATTTGAAAATAATCGTTTTTCACGATTAAATGTTTTTTCAAAAGTTGTTTCACTTATACGGTGTTAGATTAAGAATCGAAATTGTAAAAAGTTTCTCTGAAACAGGATTAAAGAATTATAATAAAATAAACAAATTATCCGAAATCGTTGTTTTTGTATAATTAGGTGATAAGATATAATACACTTTGTTACTTCTTCTTTCTTCTTGTTAAATATTCGTAAATTTGCTATTTTATAAACATATTAATATTAAGTTAAAAAAACAAATTTTTCTAATGTCAGTTTTTTTTTTCAACGAGGACCGTCAAGTTAAGCCGAAATACCTATAAATGATTCAGGTACTTGGATAAATATTTGACTCAAAAATGGAATAGGTAAAAATCACGAAAATAAACTTATTAAAATGTATTATGAACCCGAATAAATAGAAAATCCAGTTCAAGTATACAATTATATATTAAAAATATATTCGTAAAATGTATTAATGCGGATCTGTCTTTATAAAAGACATAATAAATGAAAGATTCCATTCGCTAACTGGTTTGTTGGATACTGTATCTCAAATATAAATATGCCTGCTGAGAGGAAATTTCGAATGGTTGTTCCCATTATGATGGTGTGCATTAAGGCTGCATATGGAAAAAATAGTTTACAAAAAAAAATTTACAAAGCATAAAAATAAACATCGTTCATATAACTCGAGGAAGTTCAATTTGTTAACAATGGGGTCTATAGTTTTTCGGGCTATTGGGGGAAATTTACGAAATATAATCAATTTTTTTAGAATTGTTTGAAGCGATATAGTAATTTTATAGATTTTTAAAAATCGATGCTTCAGCTGTAGTTAATTGTTAAACCTTGTCCTATTTTCCCAAACACTGACATATGGCGGAACCGTTGTGGATTCGAATAAGGATTCGTTGTTGCCGACTCTCCCTGTCTCAAATATCCCCAAAAACAATCATTGCTTTATAATTGAATATTGGTTTGAATATGAAAATAAAGGAAGGAGATGGTCCGGGATGGCGGTCATAAATAGGCTAAGTAGTGGCAAAACTACTTTATTAAAAGCCAACGTTTCGACCTGACTTTGCAGGTCTTCTTCAGGGCTAGAACGGACAAGATACAAAAAATATAGAGAATTGTGGAAGTTATATAATATTTAGATAAAAAAAATGTAAATAATGTGAATAAGCTTATTAAAATTATAAACAGTGAGTACATTAAAATATAAACAGAGTAAGCTAAGTAACAAGATCCTAAATTGAAGTAAATAGATGATAACAATTGTTATAATATAATCCGTACATATATTATTACAGTAAGGCTCGAAATCGGTTTTGTACCAAATATAAGCTCCTGTCATGCACAAATACCACGAATGGGTTACCGTTGGATTCAGAATTTCACGGGGGGTTAGCGAATCGTATTCTCCACTTTTGTTTTTCATTATAAAATAAATAAAGTCGATACAAACATTTTGCTAGGCTTCGATACTGGAACGGTGGTAGGTCTGTAGATCGATACGGAACAAATTGGGTCTTAAAGATTTTGATGCGTACAGCAAGACCCGGATAGTTCCTTGGGAACTATCGAATCCTGCGTTTTTAAGCCGAAAAACATAGGGTTCGCATCCACACAACCTTACATTAATTGTAGTACTGTCATTGAATACATGTCTCATTTCGTCGACTTGAGGTCTCTATGATCGAGAGAAGGGGAGTTTATATTATTCATCGATGGTGTTTTCGATCGGCAAGCCATATCATCGTTAATTTTTCACCAAATCTCAAGATTGAGCCACCAATTTCGAAGGCTTCCTTCTCCTTCAGGCTGGCAAAATAGTCCAATCACCCAGAAAATTCAGGCAAACTATTTATGAAAGAAAATAAACTTCATTTGCGAATAACTGAAAAATCACACACTTTTCCCTTGGTTATTCCCATGATTATATAAAACATTACTAAATTACCTACAAAAGGAAAACAAAATCATCGCAATCGGACAATTTTTAGCAAATATACAGCTTACTGAAATTTGTATACATGTTGGTTCCAAACAAAAATGAAGATTTAAATTAATTTTTGTTTGCTTTGTGGATTATATTTATCGATAAAGTAACATTTGATGTCTTAATCTTTTGATAAGTTGCATTTTCTTATTTTCTTATTAATTTGGCATTTGATAACAATATGCTGTGCGAATTTTTCGCACGGGCCTACTAGTATATAATATATGCAAATGTGAATATACTTCTACAGATCTACGGGCGAGATTGAAAAAGAAGGAAAAAGGATATAATATGAAATAACAGACCTATAGGAATGTGGAGAAAGAAATGAAAATCAAAAATAAATAAATAAGTATATAAAATTAGAAGAATAAAAATAGAGATTTACAGGTTTGTTCAGCTAGGAGTTTCACTTAGAACTGGAAAATAAGGGTAAAGGTAGGCATTGGGGAATTTTGCTGACCTGAATTTGCTGAACTTGAAGATATGGATCGATACAAGGGAAAAATACTACACCTATGAAATAACAAATTATAAATATATACATATAAAGATAAAATAGAATTAAGAAATTATAGATAAGAGTACAATGTGAATAAGTACAAAAATGGAACAAGTAACATAGAAGTAAAATATAAATATAGAAATAAGAGACCATACATTGGCCAAACGTTGGCTTTTAATAAAATAGTTTCGCCACTATTTAGGCTATTTATGACCGCCACCCCGGACTATCTCCTTCCTTTATAATGCAACGGTCAACTATTAAATATTGAATATAAAAATAGATTTTATTTTCAAATTTCGCCACTCCTCAAAAAATGCCATCGCAGGCAAGTGCTCCAATTCTGATTAAATCAGCTACTGGGTTGGAGGATTGTCTCATAGGATTGAAATGGGACTTGAGCAGTTAAGAAATTGTTACATTTGTTTAAATGTTTTAAATATGCACCATGAGCTAACAAAAATCATCTGATTACTGCACATCCCATTATCTAGACTTGAAATATAACAATTTCATTAAGGGTTAATTATAATTTTGATTTTTACCAGCAACTTTTTGCATGATTCCTTTTTCATAGTAGTATCTTAGGGAACGGCTTAATTTGTCGTAATTCATTGCTGGCCTGTTCTTTTGAATTCCCCACCTTCTGGCAACCTAAGAGAAACAAATAAAATTAAAATTATCATATTTAATTGGTAGAATTCATTTATAATGAAATATTATATAAAATATAATAATTGAAAAATATGTACCATTTACTCATTAAGGGTATTGGATTGAGTATTTTTAACAGTTATAGGTAATATGGTAAACATCCGCACTTCTCTGTATCTGTATGTTCTCAAGAAATGTTTTCAATGATTATAGCTTATAGAACAGAAGAAAAAAAAAATGTCTGTTGTAGAGAAACTTTGTCCAGTCTCACATATCAGAGGCATTATGTAAGCGCGTTTATGTACAGGTGTCTCAGAGACTGGATTCTATTTCCATCAGCGTTAATAATTATTTCCTTTATTGGTACCTTCACCAACACATAAAGTTCGTTATTGAAATGTAGAGCTTTGAAATTGAAGCAAAATTAGCTCCTCACTCAATATAAAATAGTTGTAATTTAAGTATACATATAAAAAAAAATTAAAGTTGCATACTTACTTCTTCAGGTTCTACAAGTTTGAACTCTAGCCCACGCCCCGTCCACACGATGCAGGAAGAATTGTTGGGATCATCCAAAAGTGCAACCAGAAACTGCCAGAGTTGGAGAGCACCCCTTCTCTGTGGAACTGGACTGCCTACTTCTCTCCTTACTACAAAGTGAATTCAAATAATAACTTAAAACAATATAAATAATTTAAATTGTATTCAGTAAGGTAAAGTAAATTTTTGTCAAAGTTTCCTTTAGAAATAAATCGGTAGTAGACATAATGCGGAGTATGAGTGTAAAAAACAAGTGTATATATATATATATATATATATATATATATATATATATATATATATATATATATATATATATATATATATATGTATGTAAGTATCTGGGATAGAAGTGGGAAAAATTGGTGGAATTCAACAAGCAGACAATTATTAAGAAATAATATTTATTTTTGATTTTGATTTTTTTGACATCAATCCGAGTCTTTCTCTCTAAATTTGGTCAGTTATATCTGCCTTATCTATTTTAATCTCTCTCTCTCTCTCTCTCTCTCTCTCTCTCTCTCTCTCTCTCTCTCTCTCTCTCTCTCTCTCTTTTCTTTTTTTTTTTTTTTTTTTTTTTTTTTTTTTTTTTTCCTTCTTTCCCCCCGCTGTACCTTAGGGCAACCCTATACCAGCGGTACATCCAATTTTCTAACTGAAAAATATGCCACGAATTTAAAGGGCTCGGTCACCAGGATTGGTAACCAAGCGGGCAGGTCTGCTCTCACTTTGATCCAAATTCTTGGGTCAAAGTGAGGCAAAATTCGGTCTTTTAGTTTGATTGGGGCATTAATTATTACGGGTAAACCTACACTAATGGGCTGCCTGCAACTGGAGGGCTGTTCCCACCAAACAGGACTCCAGTAACTTCCTACCTACTTATTGTGGGCCTATTACTAAGTTTATATATACTATTTCTAAATCTTATGATAACTATAAATGTATGTATTTGGTATATCACCGGTTTATTCTTTCCTCTCTTGCTATTTTTTCATGGAATATCCTCCTGGCGTATTTCTTAAAGGCATCAAATATCTCAGGTGTCTCCACAAGCTTGTCCAGAGACTGAGGAGGCCATTCCAACATGGAGTACTCTCCTGCCAATGCTTGTCGGGCGCCAGTGTACATTGGACATTCCAAAATTATGTGTCTAGCGTCCTCAACAGCCCCGCAGTGACAATTCGGACTGGCTCTTCTATGAAAAAAATGTAATTTTTCATTTATGTCTCCATGGCCTGTGAGGAGTTGAACTGTCCAGAAATCCGTCTCCACCCAGTCATTCTTGATTCTTCTCCTGACATCTGGGAAGAACTCATGGGTCAGTCTTCCAGTCTCGCATGCATCCCACCTTCTCTGCCATTCAGAAAGGACTAGTTCTTCTATTCTGTTGGCCACCTCGTCGTACCTTCCACTAGGGCACACAAAACAGCTTGTTCCCACATTTGCTGGCACTCCTCTCTTTATTCTATATTTGGCTATAGATATTTGTATTTTCAGGTCTATAGGCAATTGTCCTGTAATTACTTGCAAAGCCGAAGTGGGTGCCGTTCTGTACGCTCCTGTCACCAGTAGGAGAGATCTTCTTTGAGCTTGCTCCAGCACACTGATGTCTGACTGTCTCAGTTTCTGGCCCCAGACCGGCGCCGCATATAATGCAATAGGCAAGAAAGAAGCCTTATATAGGGTTTCCCGGTAACCATATTTGAGACCCCAGGTGGTCCCCGCCATCGTTTTAAGGCAACTGTAACGGACAATAGTTTTGCTCTTAATTTCTTTTAGGTGGTTAGTGAAGTTACACCTCTCGCCCAATAGGACTCCTAAGAACTTCACTTCCTGAGATGGTTTTATTAGGACATCTCCTAACTTTACTCTGGGGAGAAACCCTACCATTTTTCCCTTCAAAAACAGGAGTCGAGTCTTCCGAAAATTTAAAGAGAGTTTATTTTCCTGGCACCATTGCAAGATTATGTCAGTGACTTCCGCTGCCCTTATTTCCAAATCTTGTCGTGATTTTGCCTCTATTCCAACAGCAAAATCGTCCACGTAAGCAGATGGCGTATACCCGGCAGCTCTCAATTTAACAAGGAGAGGGTTCATGTTGATATTCCATAGGGGGAGTCCCAAAACTGATCCCTGAGCACAACCCCTCTGGACTGGCCTCGTTATTCTCCTTCCCGGAAGTTGATAGTAGACAGAGCGCCCCGATAAAAATGATAATATGAGCCTGTATATATTTCTGGGGCATTTTAGTTTCTTTAGCTCGTCCATAATAGCAGGCCACCACATATTATCGAACGCGCCAGCAACATCATAGAAGAGGACTACAAAATATTTATAGGGCGACTCCTTAGCTGTTGATATGAGCTGGTTGATGGCATCCGTTGTTGACTGTCCTTTTCGACCTCCGAATTGATCAGGAGAGAGCAAATCGGTCACGTCTTTTAGGCGTTGCAGCATTAGGCTTTCCAGAATTTTCCCCATTACATTTAGGAGGCATATTGGGCGGTAAGATTTAGCAGTGACTTCTGTTATACCGGGCTTCAAGATAGTAACCAGCTCAGCCTGTTTCCAGATACAGGGGAAAATGCCTTCATTGAAGCATCGGTTGTAGAACGTAGTTAAAGGCTTAATCAGTGCGTTTTTTGTATTTCTAAGGATATCAGCTCCTATCATATCCGGTCCTGGTGCCTTTCCCGATCGGAGTTGTCCTATAGCCAACCTCACGTCTTCCTCTTCCCATGAAAGCGCATCTTCGGTTTGCGGAAGTTCACACATTGCAATTCTTTTGTGAGCATGGTCTTCTGTGTCCGAAGTTAGTTCGTCTTCAGGGAAAGATCTCACCATTATAGCATTAACAACCTCATCTGCCGTTCTGGTTGCATCCCCATTATGCATAAACGATGTGAAGGAGTTTCTATTTGAGATTTTATCAAGGGCTCTCCGATAGGCTAGTCCCCAAGGGCTTTTGCATTGGTCTAGGTATCGGTGCCATGTCTCTTTCTTTGCTTTTCCTATTGCCTTTTGGAAACTCTTATTAAGTTCGTAATATGCTTTTTTGACATTTCTTTTGGTAACAGCATCGTTTTCTCGCTGAAATCGGCGTCTTGCTCTGTACGTCTCCCGCTTCAGGCTTGTGAGTTGTGTGTTCCACCATACTTGTCCATTTCTTATTGACTCTCGTGTTATGGGCAACACCTCCTTAACCGCTGTGAAAATTTCTGTTGAAATTTTCGCTGCCTCTTTTTCTAATTCCATATGATGGTGTTGCTCCAGCTCTGTTAGGTGCCATGCAATATTCTCAGCAACACGCTCCCACTCAGCTCCCTCCGTCACAAAACGTTCCTTATGGTATCGCTTTTCTCGATTGTTTAGGTTTATTTCAAATAAAACCACCCGGTGATCACTGCAGGTCCAATCCTCGACTTTCCAAAAGCTAATAAGCTGGCCAATGCCAGGTGACGCCAGAGTTATATCGATAAATGATTCTCCGCTGGATCCCGAAAATGTTGGCAAGGCCGTGGGATCATTTACAATGGTTAGGCCATTCCTTGCAGCAAAATCCTCCAGCAATACGCCTTTTCTATCGGTTCTTCGGCTGCCCCACAAAATTGAGTGAGCATTAAAATCGCCCATTATTAAGATGTTCTTACTCAGCTTCCGTATTACCAGCTGCAATTTTGTCAGTATGTCTTCCAGTGGGAGTGCGAATTTTGCATAGACATTGATCAAGTCAAAGTTAATGCCTACGTAATCTACATTGGCAACTGAAATAAATCTATCTTCCAGATCAGGCTGTGATGTAATTGTAAGGCAATGATTAAACACCACCACTGCACTCTGTGGTGCATCGTGTAACCCACTTCCATTGCTAGCAATAGTGCGGTCTTGCGGTTCAGTTCCAGACACCTTCCCTCTCTTAGTAGGAGGTTCCTGAAGAGCACCAATATCTATGTTATTTAGTGAGGCCATGCGTCTAAATTCTGACATTGCAAGCGGTCTTTTGTTTAGATTGTGTTGGGCTATCCGGAGGGCAGAATTATTATTCATTGTCGTTATATTTTGTCCTCATTACTAACCTTTCAATTGCTCTTTTGTATGATGGGCAGTCTTTGTCATTTGTCGGATGGTTAGATGCTGAGTTGGTTTTACTGCAGTTTATGCATTTCGGCGGTCCGCCGGTCTTTTGTTTTGGGCAGTCTCTCTCTCTCTCTCTCTCTCTCTCTCTCTCTCTCTCTCTCTCTCTCTCTCTCTCTCTCTCTCTCTCTCTCTCTCTCTCTCTCTCTCTCTCTCTCTCTCTCTCTCTCTCTCTCTCTCTCTCTCTCTCTCTCTCTCTCTCTCTCTCTCTCTCTTTTCTTTTTTTTTTTTTTTTTTTTTTTTTTTTTTTTTCCTTCTTTCCCCCCGCTGTACCTTAGGGCAACCCTATACCAGCGGTACATCCAATTTTCTAACTGAAAAATATGCCACGAATTTAAAGGGCTCGGTCACCAGGATTGGTAACCAAGCGGGCAGGTCTGCTCTCACTTTGATCCAAATTCTTGGGTCAAAGTGAGGCAAAATTCGGTCTTTTAGTTTGATTGGGGCATTAATTATTACGGGTAAACCTACACTAATGGGCTGCCTGCAACTGGAGGGCTGTTCCCACCAAACAGGACTCCAGTAACTTCCTACCTACTTATTGTGGGCCTATTACTAAGTTTATATATACTATTTCTAAATCTTATGATAACTATAAATGTATGTATTTGGTATATCACCGGTTTATTCTTTCCTCTCTTGCTATTTTTTCATGGAATATCCTCCTGGCGTATTTCTTAAAGGCATCAAATATCTCAGGTGTCTCCACAAGCTTGTCCAGAGACTGAGGAGGCCATTCCAACATGGAGTACTCTCCTGCCAATGCTTGTCGGGCGCCAGTGTACATTGGACATTCCAAAATTATGTGTCTAGCGTCCTCAACAGCCCCGCAGTGACAATTCGGACTGGCTCTTCTATGAAAAAAATGTAATTTTTCATTTATGTCTCCATGGCCTGTGAGGAGTTGAACTGTCCAGAAATCCGTCTCCACCCAGTCATTCTTGATTCTTCTCCTGACATCTGGGAAGAACTCATGGGTCAGTCTTCCAGTCTCGCATGCATCCCACCTTCTCTGCCATTCAGAAAGGACTAGTTCTTCTATTCTGTTGGCCACCTCGTCGTACCTTCCACTAGGGCACACAAAACAGCTTGTTCCCACATTTGCTGGCACTCCTCTCTTTATTCTATATTTGGCTATAGATATTTGTATTTTCAGGTCTATAGGCAATTGTCCTGTAATTACTTGCAAAGCCGAAGTGGGTGCCGTTCTGTACGCTCCTGTCACCAGTAGGAGAGATCTTCTTTGAGCTTGCTCCAGCACACTGATGTCTGACTGTCTCAGTTTCTGGCCCCAGACCGGCGCCGCATATAATGCAATAGGCAAGAAAGAAGCCTTATATAGGGTTTCCCGGTAACCATATTTGAGACCCCAGGTGGTCCCCGCCATCGTTTTAAGGCAACTGTAACGGACAATAGTTTTGCTCTTAATTTCTTTTAGGTGGTTAGTGAAGTTACACCTCTCGCCCAATAGGACTCCTAAGAACTTCACTTCCTGAGATGGTTTTATTAGGACATCTCCTAACTTTACTCTGGGGAGAAACCCTACCATTTTTCCCTTCAAAAACAGGAGTCGAGTCTTCCGAAAATTTAAAGAGAGTTTATTTTCCTGGCACCATTGCAAGATTATGTCAGTGACTTCCGCTGCCCTTATTTCCAAATCTTGTCGTGATTTTGCCTCTATTCCAACAGCAAAATCGTCCACGTAAGCAGATGGCGTATACCCGACAGCTCTCAATTTAACAAGGAGAGGGTTCATGTTAATATTCCATAGGGGGAGTCCCAAAACTGATCCCTGAGCACAATGTCTCTCAATGTATCTCTCTCTCTCTCTCTCTCTCTCTCTCTCTCTCTCTCTCTCTCTCTCTCTCTCTCTCTCTCTCTCTCTCTCTCTCTCTCTCTCTCTCTCTCTCTCTCTCCTCTCTCTCTCTCTCTCTCTCTCTCTCTCTCTCTCTCTCTCTCTCTCTCTCTCTCTCTCTCTCTCTTTTCGGTACTTATTTAATAGTAAGTAGCGTCCGACTGCTATCTGCCAATGTTTATAACCTTAACACTGATAAGCTCTTCGTATTCATATCTATTGTATTATATTCATTATAGTTATAATTATAATTATAAAACATTATAAATATATAATTAAAAAATATTACGAAAACATATATATTGCAACATATATATCGAAATAAATGAAATAATAAAAATAGGCCAAAAATAGATGAAATAATAAAAAACCACTTAAACAGCATATGTACATATAAAAGAAACACTGTGAAGAAACAATATAAACAAAATATGAAAAATTTTATTTTAACTTGATTTATTTTGGTAGGGAAAATAGATTTAGGGTATTTAAAATAGCAAGTAAGGGATCCGTCATGGGCACAAACTTCTCTTAAAAATTTGTTCCATGTTACGATAGTTGGGTTGGATAGTTTGAGCTGCTCTTTCCCCCACTGTATTGTTGTTAGATTATGGGACCACCCATAAGTGAATTTTAAAGCCGTTAAAAAACAAATCCTCGACCCCTCCAACGTATAAGTACCTTTTTTCTTACAGAATCTATATAAGGTACATGAGTCCGTTTACCCCATTAGATAATAGTATTTTGGTAAATTGGGGGCGGGGTGGTCGAGTGGCCTAACGCGTATGCACAGAACCGCGCGTTGCCCAGCAACATGGTAATCGAATTATAGATAATAAAATAATTACGAGATCGTGTCGTAAATTACTTATTGTTTTTCAATTGAGCTACTCAATAAAAACACTGAAAAATGTATATTGTGCCAAATGAAAACATTTTCTTAAACTCGGCGAACAACACAAGGTATCAATAAAACAGTTTATCTAGTTTTTGGAGTTCTAAAAAAATAAAATAGATTTAGACAGTTTCAAATAGATTCCTCGACTTTTCCCCTACTCGTCCCACTGTGTGCCGGTGGGGTTTTTAACTGTGGCACCAATCCCACACCCTCGGTCCCTGGCTCTGGAAAACCCTGAATAACCTTAAAGGTGAGGTGGGGAAGAACAAAAAATAAAAATAAAAAAGGAGTTTGGGTATACATATGAGCCTTTGAGTTGACAGAATGACTAACTCAAATTTCAACATTTTTTATTATTAATTATAGTGATATTTTATTAATTCTTGTTGGAAAATTTATATCTTTATTCACAGTTCTATATTTCAACACTTCAATCACCTCCTCTGGAATCAACTTACTATCTGAACAGATATTATGAATTTTCCATCTAGAAATATATCACTAAAATGACTTACTCAAAAATGTTGAAATTGGAATTAGTCATTATGTTAACTGAATGGCTCATATATTAGCTAACCTTTTCGTGCAAAGTTGAAAATGTATAGATCTCGTAAATCATACAAACATTTAAATAATTTAAAGAATAACAGGGAGAGATAATAACATGTATAAAATTACCTTCGATTATATATTTTTAGGGTATTAATATGGTATACTGATTTTAACTCGTATGTTAATTTTGCTTTTTAAATATTTTAAATGTTTTTTGAATCCATAAAATCTCTTCGTGTCTGCAGAGGTCGAGTAGTGATTGAGGCTTCCACATTTGTTGACTCAACAGGCAAAAAAAAAGTTCATAACTGAAGGAACCAGCTATTCCTTGAAAGGACGGCAAAAAACGATCACAAGAAGGCAGGTATCGAACCCAATTATTTTGGACCAACAGGAGAGTCAATACCCTTCCGGGAAATTTTGTTTACCCACTACAAGTAGTCAACACGTCTGCCTACTGCCTTCCAGGTAATTTCAACTTCTATTCTCAATCTTTCTTGTTTAAAAATAAAAACAAGCCCAATTATCGTTTCAGAGAGATTTGCGATTCGCACGTTTGCTTAATAATAAGGTCCAAATACAATCGTTGTTAAAAATCGTCATTCAAGGCAGTTAAAGTTATGTTGGAATTCTCACGATTCTAATGAACCTAAGCATTGAGGACATTGAACTGCTAACGAAGCCTCAGGATTTCTTTTAAAAACGTTTAAGACATCGTGCAATTGTTCATGCTTAACAACAACATGCCGTACAGTGGTTGAAAATCGATTTGTTTTTTAACAAACAAATCCTAGAAATACTGATCTGTAAGTCACAGAAAAATAGTTTTGATAGCATCATAATCAAAACTAAATTTTCTATAAAATGTCTACAGTAAAAAACCGTTTAACCGGCTCTCCGGTTTAAGCGCTCGTATTCCTTAGGTTCCTCAATTACAACTATTCTCCGTTATGATCTCTTATTTCTCCTTTAGTCATTTATCAATTTTTTTCATTTTTTATATTTAACCATTTTTCATATAAAAAATTAATGTGAAATAGTCAATTGTTTCAAATAAAAAAAATTAAAGGTACTTTAGAGGAAGCTTATTGAAAATCAGCCATTTAAGGTCTGTTATTAGAGAACATCAATCAGAATAAAAACTCAATTTTATTTCAAACTCCTTAATTTTACACTGATATAATTAATTTAATCAAAATCGTTAGAGCCGATTTAGAGAAAATTGTAAAAATGTGTTTAGCCCATGATATAAAGCGCCACTTTCGGTCAGTCGATTTTGACGAAGTTACTGTAACATACCTAGCATATAAAAATATTAATATGCAATTTCACTTTCGTAAGACTTTTCGTTTTTGAGCTACACTGTTAACACATACGCACACACACACACACACACACACACACACACACACGTATTTCCGTTGAAAACCGAGATTCAAAATTTTTTACGATCGCATTACTTTCCTTTACTATATATTTCATATATAGGAAAGTGAAAGTAAAAATTAACGAGCCTTGTGAATACTATTATAGTGAACAATCGTTTACACTCTTAAATTAAATCATATATTCAAGAAAACTTACAATACGCTGGTCTAATCAATTTGAAATCATCATATATTAATACACATATAAGCTATAAATAAATTCTTGCAGATACTTTTTAATTTCATTTTAACCGGTCACGTCTCGATTAGGAGATATAAGGACGGATAAAAGAGATAGTGTTGTGGTTTAAAAAGTTTTTACAGTTAAAGTAGTAATTCAATTTATGAAACGGCAATTCTTAAAAAAAAAAAAAAAAAAAATTAAACTGTTTATGTATTTTATAAAATATATAAAAGCAATCGTATGTTTTGGGAGATGGGAGGTTGAGAGATTTCATTTTATGATTTTATTCCGCGCTACCAAATACCAAAAACACATTCCATGAAATTATTTTTTAACTTCTAATTCTTTTTCAAATTCGAATTAATTTGATATTTACTAACTTATATACTACATGATAAGAATATGACGGAGTTCCTTTTTTTTTTAGAAATAAATAGAATCCGAAGAAACATTTTTCTAAATTTAATTTTTGTTTTATTTATATATTTTTTACAATATAATTATATCTAAAGGAAAGATTTAAATTAAATACAAAGATATAGTAATTTATATCCCATATAAAATAAAATAGATAGAGTTTTGGTTTTTAATGCAGATAAATAAAAGCTAATCAATTCTTTTTTTAAAGAATTAATTGATATTGCTAGGGCTCAATGACTAATTTAAAATATAACGAAAAGATACATTAATGTATATAAAACAAAACAATATACTTAAAATAGTATACTTGTTTATTTTAGGGTCAATAATTTATTCATTTCAAATAGATGCTCGTTCAAAAATAAACTAATAAGTTATTTCAATTTACAACATTAAATTAGGCTTAAATTACAGACGCAAGTGGACTCAACTGGAATCAGTTTTAATATTTTTTTTAGGATTCTAGTTTTAATAAACAAATAGACGTTAGACATGCGGTCGGCTGCGATGAAAAGGTCTGGACCAACAAAATATTTTTTTTTCTATTTATTTTAGTTCTTTTTCAAAATAATATTGTGCAATTGAAAATACGAATATGTAATTTCTTTTTTCATGCAGTGTGCCGCTTGGAATGGCTGTTCGTGATTATAAAAATAAATCGTACCAAACATACAAAATGTGAGTGAAAATAATAATAATGATGTCCAACAATTTTCGTTTAAATTCAAACTTTATTCCATGTTCAGATTTGGAAGACTCATACAACGTTCAAAATCAATATTTTACTGATTGAGCTAGTGAAAGATCTTAGGAAACTAATCTATTGTTGATTGACGAAAATAAAATAATTTTTAAATACCTACAACAAATTTTTTTTTCGCCTTTCAACCACTGTGCGCCTTGAGCATATTTCTCCTCCCCCAAGTCGAATTCGATCATTTTAATACACACTCAACATTTTTGTACAACTCGAAATTAAAATAAATTCGAACGTTTTATGGAAATTCAGAACATTGATTTTAACCACTGTGATAGCTGGTGCTATTTTTAAATATTTTATAATTAATTTTTTTTTGTTATGTAAAATTCGAAGTAGGGAATAAAAGTTAAGTTTTCCATTTCTGTTCCAAAACTAGGGAGGGACAGAGGGGTTTTGGACCGGGCGGCAGAATTTAGAGACCGACAACATTGTTTTTTGACTTAAGGAAAAAAAAACTTTATGCTGTTTGTTTTTTTTCGAGATACAGACCCCTTTTTATCACATAAATAACACTCGTCTATAATTCATTAAGTACATTTTTGATGGATCAGAACTTTCAAGAATGTTTTTGTGAATTTAGGACAAATTGTTCGATAAAAGAACATCGAAATCGACCTGATCGCAGGCGAAGGTTTGATTGTAAATGACGAAAGTGTATGTTATTCTGAGTAAAAAAAACTTCTCTGATGTTCCAGAACCACTGCTTTCAAAAATGGGGGCTGATTTAAAGAATATTAGGCAATAATTTGAGGATCGAAATGAGAAATCCATTGCGAAAAATGTGAGAAAAGTTTCTATTTTTTTAACTTGTATATATGGCTTTAGACATGTAAAAAACAAAATTGCTAACGCAGGCCAACGAGGAAAAACTTTTTACAGCCAAAAAAGTCAGATTTTTTCGATATTTTTGTGGTTTTTCATCTATAACTCCTAAACGATGCATCAAAGCGGAAAATGTATTCTTTAATCAATTAAAGAACGTTAAATTTTGCGTCAACGTTAACATTAAAATTTGGTTACGCGGTAAGGTATAAAACCACGGTCAACCAACGTTGAGTTTTACCAAATTTGTCAAAAACTGAGACAAATTACTATAAATGGCCCTGTAGCTTGGAAATGAGTTCCCTAAGAGGAAAAGCTCATAGAATCAAAGTTGTAGAGCATCAAATTTTGTGTATACTGAGTACTGAAATTTTTATTGTTGGCCAATTATATATCTCGAATTGGGATTCATTATTCCTTTATAAAATTCGGTATCTTTCGGCACATCGTTTACCAAAATCTTTTGCTGTTGAGATGTGCAAAAGAGGCTTATACCGCATGTAATAGACTTTAAACAAAACTAACTCAGTAGAATAGACACCCATACTGTTGAAATCGAAATTTTCGTTTACCTTCATTACCAATTTCTAACCATCCGGAGATTACTGATTTTGTTCGCAGCAAGTGACCTACATTAAATTAGTTAATACTGAGTATATGCGAAATTTGATGCTCTACAACATTGATTTTATGGGTTTTTCCGCTTAGGGAACTCATTTCCAAGTTACAGGGCCATTTATAGTCATTTGTCTCAGTTTTTGACAAATTTGGTAAAACTCAACGTTGGTTGACCACGGTTTTGTACCTTACCGCATAACCAAATTTTAAAGTTTATGTACTAGTTTGGCGCAAAATTTAACTTTCTTTGATTTATTAAAGAATACGTTTTTCGCTTTGATGCATCGTTTAGGAGTTATAGATGAAAAACCCAAAAAATATCTAAAAAATCTGACTTTATTTGGCTATAAAATGCTCACAATTTTGAGATTTTACTTAGTAAAAACTCATCGAAGTTCTCAGTGAGTTATGTTTATCAAATGTCAGTTAATGACTTTTTACTTTGGAGTAGTAGTAAAATGTGGCTGACAACACTGAAATACAAAAATTTAATTGTTTCATATAGTCGGTGTTTCAGTTCTTAATGGCAAAAACTGTGGAGGGTGATTCTAGAAGAAATTTTCAACAAAAAAGTTCATTTAATGCATGGATCTATCCCGAACAGAACAGGAGTTAAGACAAATTTTGTGTTTTTCTTAAAGAGGTCACTTTTTTTTTTATTAATAAGAAAGAATTACTCAAAAACTGTACAAGATGATTAAATTTTAAGTACACCATCGTAAAATACACTCTACTTCAATTTATTAAAATAATTGGAGCAATCAGTAGGTTTCTTTACTTTAAACGTAAATTTTAGTAAGAAACATTAAGTTTGTGATAAATACTTATTAATTTGTATGACAGAAAAATCTGGGAGAAAAACACAATTCCATAACAACTTGACCAGAAAAATCGTTATTTTTAATTTTTTTAGTTTTATAAATAAAATGTGTTTTTAGACAATCAAGTTTATGACAATACATCCCATATCACGAAAAACCAGAAATAAAAGCTTTGAAACAGTTGGTAGTAGTCATGTTTGCAGAAATCAAGGATGCTTATAGGTGACTGGATAGAAAATCACTCCATTTCTTTAAACAACATGAGATGAATCTAAAAAAATTTCCCAATAAACCTCAATTTAATTAATATTGACTTAAAGCTTATTAAGTTTTTCTAAAGGTGGGGGTAAATGTAGTGCAGTTGAAGGGCGATAGAAAAAATCACAAATAATTTACGATTTTTTTCAACGGAATTTAGCTGTGTTTGTCCGCTTAATTGTCCTCTTTAAATAGTCTTAACAATGGCCAACTTTGACTGACCACCTCAACTATTCTTCTCTTCATTATCCACAACAGTCAACCATTTACCAATTATGTATATGTATATATATATAAATGACGTAAAGCCTAAACAAATAAATTTTTTTTTTTTTATATAAATTTTGTATTGAGAC